TGAACCACTCACTATAAACTAATCTTCAACCAAGTTCTTTTGTTCTATATATAAATACAATCTGCACTCTAGTTGTTTATATAGCTGACTACAGTAATAATATAGATAGAATCTGTCTGTACGTTATTGTATTAGGTTATATACATATAACTATAATTAAATAAATGAAACCATTCAAACCAGAAGATATGGAATTCAGGAAAATGTTAATCCAATCATTTCAGCTGCCGTTTTTTATAATTTTAGTACTCTATGTAGTCTGTTGTTATACAAGCACATACGACAAAACAAACCAACAACGAGGCTGATGTCCCTCATCTCAATCTCAAAAATATGCATTTAGATGGCAAGCATTAATCACTTGCTATTTATCTTATATAAGACTTAAAAGCATCAGCCTACTTAACCAAAGCAGAAAGTTCTGAAACCCAAATCAATCCATAAAGGTTGTTGCAACCAGATCATAACTTAAGCCACAATAGAGTGACCACAAGTTCGTTCAGCATGATAACGACCATGTTCCTGAAGCAACGACTGCAAGTTTTACAACTTCTAGCTGTTGCTACATTAGTCTGAAATTCCCAAACTGTTAGGTAGTTATCTCTATTTACACGTTTACCACTGAAAACCAAATAAAAGCATAATGGAAGAACAAAAAGAAAATTAAAAAGGTTTGGATTTTGGATTAAGATGTGAAGTGGGCCATAGCCACAAAGCGGAAAGTTCCAGCACCTTGACATTGAACAAACCTTTAACTTTGCAACTCGATTACGTGTATCACAGCTAGACATTTCAGTTGAAAAACGCACAACTTGGTAGTTGTGATGATATTTTCTATCGAGGAATCTGAGAAGTCCTCAGCTGGGTCAGGAGGAACCAATCGAAATTAGTGCCGAAAAATGTAGGGTATTATATGAAGGCCCTGATGAGATGTATGGCGTAAAATGAGTAAAAAGCCCCAATTCTTCCCAGACTAGTTTGTGTTACTGGTGAACAATGCATGCGTCATCACTGATACAACTGCAGATGATGTGACCGTACATACGGCAAGTGAACTTAAAGGTCAATCATCTTACACAGAATTAAAAGAAGACTTTCGCATTTCCTCTATGAAACAGATTGTATCTTTTTGTTTACTATACTAAAGGTTATACATGTATCAGTTAGTTCACAGAAAAATGTAAGTGATGGGACCCAAGATAAAAGATGTCTGATAGGAGTACATGTATATGTGACCCATGTAGAACAGGTGAACTTAAAATCATAACAACTTTATCCATACTTGTTTCTAAATGGATTTCTTATTTGATCACATGTGACTGTGAGTTACAGTACACATAGAGAATTATACGAATCTAAAATGGGGTTTTAACAAGAATAGTGTTTTTAATGAAGAAAGTCAATATCTACATGTAATTCCTATAGATAATGGTACTTTAAGAGACCAAAAGTGACAATAGTCATGGATTATATATGTACATGTGTATCCTACTGATTGATTGATTTATCTTTATTGATAATTAATAGCCTTATTCCATTTCTGCATTGGAATGTATTTTTAGGAAGTACATGTAACAGACCTTAGCATGTATTCTGGTTTCAAGTTTACAAATGCCTAACACAAGACATGGTAATAGTTTTCACCATCTAGTAAGGAACATACAAGAATCACAGCTGCCACATAATAATACCAGTTATAATTAGTAACTGATCAAAGGAAATCAAACATGATGCTGAATAATTAGATATTATAATTGAACACATTCAAACAATTGTTAATTATAACATAAAAGTATTTGACGTCATGAAGATGAAACAAGAACCTGTAGGCCTACATAATGTACTGGATTTTATTTTTGTTTTCTGTTTTGGGATATACTCAAAGTATCTGGCAAGAACTCAATTGCTAAATCTGTACATTGCACTAGGTGAAACAATAATTTCTTTCTAGTACTATCTAGTGAGAAGCCACAAACAGTTTTTATATATTGTAGACACAAGATTTACAAGAAACTTCAACAATGAGTATAGATTTGATCTGATAATGGACTCAATTCCCCAAACACTTTTACATTCATGAATATTTGCAGATTAAAAAAACTAACAACCTACTACTGTTTCTACGCCTAATAATCTGTGAAACTTTGTATCTATAGTATATTAAATAATGATTTATATAGCCTTTGAAGTGAAATAACATTTATTCACAGGACAAGCCTATAATCAACTCTCAAGGGTATCGGAAGGTGCAGATATAAACGGATTGATTTAATGATTTAATTTTAAAATGGAGAAGCGTGGCAAGTAATGTTGCTATGATAATAAACAATCTACTGTAATGTCAAAACTTCAAACAGTGATTTGAATGAAATTTTCAATATATATTAATTTTTAAATATCTATTTTGGAACTATTATTAGTATTGCAAGAACAGCCAGCTCTTTATCTAAATCTTACATTAAGCATCTGTAATAAAACAATCACTTTGACAATCACTACCGATCAGTAAAACTTTTTTTAAGAGCACAGATTGTATTCAAAACGTTCAACTAACTCATTACTCTGATTTTTATACATAATTCACTACAGGTACTGTACATTACAGTCTCTTTAAAACATGGTACTACACCTATGGTAATACATGTATGGTCTTGCATTTGCATGTTTATTTCATACGTTTGGCACATCATTACATGTACATGTATATCTTATAAGTTTAAACTTCTTTTATTGCATCAACATTTCATTGTACAATACAAAAGGATTAAACAAAAGTTCTAACAACTTGTAAACATCTTATCCTTTAAACATCTTCTCCTTTATCTTATAAATGTATGTAAATGTAATGCTCTACTTGACAAATATACTTAAAGCCCTGTTACATGACATTAATACATTCTGTGACATTACTCAGACTGACATTTCTATTTAATTATTAGAACCAACAATGACGTCATTGATGTACATTTAACATATGTACATACATGTCAGCTAAAAGTGAAATTGATCTGAATTTTCCAATGTATGTTTCCAATTCTAAACTGCACATATTAATTAAAGATACATTGTGGGAGATTAGATAAAGAGCTGGCAGTTCTCACTAATAGTAATAGTTAAAAACTAGAGGATGTACATGGAATATGCTGAAAAATTCAGTCAAATTGCTTCATGATAACTAACAGTCACGACTATCCATTTTTGCATTTAATCATCAACAGACGTTGAACAGCAGATCGGATTCAAATCCATTGAAAATTGGACAGATAAGATGGCATCGAGAGTTGATTATGCATGGTCTTTTCAGTTAATAAATGTCTAATTAATAGTTTATATAACATTTCAAGCCTAAAAAAAGACATGCAATAGGCAGATTTACCTCTTGCATAATGCATGTTTAATTGCACATTTCTCTTTTTCAAAAGTACCAAGCAATCAAACTGATTATTTATAGTTAGTTTAAGCAAAAAGTATTCACTCTCAAATTCAATCAAGGTTTGAACACCTGGTAGTGAAACTATACACTAAGTTTCATCACTGGGAATAAACATAACTCTACAGGAATGGACTCTTATTTACAAGCAAACTTTTGAATTTACTATTGATACTAGGCTGAAATGGTTTCAATTTCAACTCAATTGTAATATAATTGGTACTAATAAATTTTTAGCTAAAAATTGGAATTTTTAAATCAGATCTATGTACTTTTTGCAATTTTGCAAAAAAGAAACAGAATCATTAATACATCTTTATTACAACTGTGAACATGCACAAGTTAAGTATATAGGCAAGAATTAGGAGCCTGGGTTAAACTCAAGGCAAGCAATGATTTTGATATCATCTTTATCGCATGTTTATTTGGCATTGATACTGATGATAATAAAATTCTAAATTTAATATATATAGCTTAGCTAAGTTGCACATATATAAACAAAGACTCACAGAAAATAAACCAGTTTTGAATGTACTTAAAAAAGAATTGTTTTACTAAAAGAAAAGAACAAATTATACTCGGTGATAAATTTGAAGATAGATCGAAACAACTTAAAGGTATTTTCATCTGAGTTTTTCCCTAGTAACCATCCTTGTTTAGTAAGGTTTGTGATATCCCAGTAGTTTGTTGGGTGTTTTGGCTTTGTAGTATAATTTAATTGTGGTATAGGCTATATATATATAATTTAATTGTAGTATATATATATATACAATAATTATTGTCAAAAAAAACAAAAATCACTCTCCATCAGTTAGAATCAAAGTTATCTTATCTTAAAGCATCGACCCATGAAATTGCTTAGCTCTGCTTAGCTTTAGTGGAAAATGTTTATCTTTGAACTCAGTCAAGACATTCACCTAATGAACATCATCTATACACTTAATACACCAAGTTTAACCATTCTACCTGTTATGTTCACAAGTCTTGACCAATCAAATTGCTTATCGCTACTTAGCCTAAGCAGAAATTTTTTTATCAAACTTAGTCAAGGTATTGATGAAATAAATCTATTCTATAAGATTCATCACTCTCACCCTCAGTTATTGTGTTTCAAAGCCTACCAATCAAATTGCTAACTGTTTAATAATAACCATCTGAGGTATATGGTATTGTAAGCAACTGTCTGAATGCGAGCTGTCCACTTATCGATTAATCAATCAATTAAGGTAGAAATCAATTATCAATTTATTTCAGGAAGAACTAACAGAAGCCAAGGTGGATAAAAAACATGAAACAGGTGTACTGTACTTAACAACATAATTCTGTTATAAATCAATACAAATCTTAGCCTTTCCATTTTTACATTTCTCAAAAGAAATAATTTTACACTATTAGTTAGCAATATCAAACAGTTAGCTTTTATCTAAACAAATCTGATTTCAGTCATTGAAGCTTGACCTGATTAAAGCCCATATGAAAATAAAAATGGGATAATGAAAATGTGCATACTCCATGGTTCAGTTTTCTACGAGGGACAGCAGCATTTCTGCCTAATCTTCATTTTACTCACCTTGTAAAAAGTCTTGAAGCATGGAATCCAATTTGTAATCTTCGTCAACAAATAAAGGGCGGTGATCATAAAACTGGCACACTGTTTTCAATGCTGTGTTATCATCTGGATCGATCAAGGCTAGATCTTTTGTATTCAATAAATTTACAATACAACTTTTGTCTCCATCAAAAACAGGAATTCTTGTGTAACCATTTTTCAGAATTTCCGACATTGTTTCAAAATCAAGTGTAGTGTTGATATCTAACATATAAACATCATCGATCTTCGTCATGACATCGGTGACAACTTTATTTGCCAGCTGAAGAGCTCCAGCGATAATATTTGCCTCGTCATTTTGAAGAACTTTTGAATCAGCTGTCATACGAATTAATTCTTGCAATTTTTCTTTATTGTATACTTGGCCAATTTCCTCTCCTAAAACCTTGTCTAAAATTAAACTAATGGGAAACGATAACGGAAACGTAACAATCATAAAAAATTTAGTTAAATAAACTGTTCGAGCTCCAATCGCCAAGCCATGTCTGGAACATATAGCTTGTGGAATAATTTCTCCAAATATAACAATACCCATTGTTGACATAATAATAGCCAATAGTCCATTTGACAAGTCGTCTAACAAAATGGTCAATGTATTATTTACAAGAACATTTCCCAACAATAAAGTACATAATAAAAAATTTCCCCTGCTACGTAACGGTTCAATAATTTTTGCATATTTCTTTTCATTATCTGAGCCACATTTCTGAATGATTTGCAATTCTGTCTTATCTAAAGCCATCAGACCAAGATTCAAGCCGCTAAACAGCCCTGACAAACACAATAACACAAGTAAAATCGAAATTTGTATGCCAAATGGCAAAAGAAAAGTTTTTACGGGTTTAGCTTCAACAGTAAACCGAAGCCAGGGACTGTCACGTCCTTGGTGGACCCATCGAGTCTGAGTTTCATTTTGAAACCCACTAGTCATAAATATCTCTTTTACACAAACATAACGATATTCTCCATCAACATAATCAAATGATACACTGATCACTCCCACAGAATTATCTATTACTTCAGAAAAATTCACTTTTATATCCCCGTCACTTATTACACAGACTTCGCCCCGATCCGCGGTTTCTGTAGTGAAAGCAATGGCAGTAATGTTGGTTAACTGGTTTCCATGCAAGCGTAGCTGGTGTTGGATTCCCTCCATAAATTTCAGAGTGCCATCTTGATCTGCGGTGATTCCTTCACCCGCAGCAAATAAGACATCAACTGATGCTGCTTCTGCAAAATTCGTCATAGTTTTTAGTAGAATTAACGTAAGTGTCAAGAGAACCGAGAAAATCCTGACTGCCATGTTTTGGCACTGTAGCCGGAAATGAACTGTTACGCCCCCTTCTGGCTCTAGATATGGGAAATAACTCCACGCTAGACTCATTATTTTCCTAGCAGACGAATTTATAATAGCGTTATTACGCAGTTGATTTAGAGGCATACATTAAAATCTAGACAGTGGCTTATGATTAGCAGTTCGTACGAAATGTCCGAAACTTTTTGATAGATGATATATCAAGCGGAACCTAATCATTTTTTTTTCACGGGTGGGTGGGGGGGTGGTATTTTTTAGCACTGATCCAGGGTGACCACCCGCCCCGCATTTCATGGGACAGTCCCGCAAAATGCTTCTAAGTCCCGCGTCCCGAAAACCAGCCAAAATGTCCCGCAATTGCTCATGCGCGAATCTAGTCTCGCGGCGAAAGTCTATAATTTGAGTAGGCCTATTAGGCCTACATAGTCCGGGAGCCCAGTGAGATTTAATCAAAATATTGAGTCCAAAAGGTTTGAGGTCTACAACACATATTTTACCCCTAGATCATTTTGGAAAGCCAAGTCTTAAGTTTTGTAACCTGTGCATATACCTGGGAGTGCTCCCCCTAACCCTCCCATATTTAATGGGAGTTAAAATTCAATGTCCATCTACAATTTTTTTGCAAGCTTTTAACACTTAACACTAAGAAACAGAATGCATGACTTAAGAGCATACAATGTTGTGCTAATGCTACTCAAGAGCTTAATTAATTAGCACTAATTAGTGACCGTAATTAAAATTTACAGTCCATAACTAAAACAAAGCCTAAAAGCTAGCTAACCAAGTCATAAAATCAAAAATATCACTTAAAAGACTAAGAGCGACAGAAGTTGAACAAACCTTGCTTAAGACTCATTCAAAGGTCAAGGGTCACTAATCAGGGGCAATAATTAAAATTTAGTGTCCATAACTGAAACAAAGTCAAAAAACTAGCTAACCAAGTCAGGAAACCAAAAATATCACTTAAGAGCGACAAAAGTTGAACAAACCTTGCTTAAGAGTGGTTCAAAGCTGACAAGGGTCAAATTTTAGGTCACATAACGACGTTTGAGTGTATTTGATTAAATTGTCTTGTCTTGGATTATTTTTCTTTCTAACACCATTTCTATGAGTTTCACTGCACAAAATGACTGCTTAAGAGCATGAAATGCTGTACTAATAATGCTACTTAAGAGCTAATTAATTAGCACTAATTTGTGACCATAATTAAAATTTAGAGTCCATAGCTGAAACAAAGCCTAAAAGCTAGCTAAGCAAGTCAGGAAGCCAACAATATCACTTAAGAGCAAAAAAAGTTGAACAAACTTGGCGTAAGACTGGTGACAAAGGTCATATTTTGGGCCACATTATGACCAATTAACCAATCAACCCATAAAATTGCTTATCTCTGCTTGCCCTAAAGAGACGCAGAAAAACTATGCGACGAATCACTCATTCCTAGGAAATGAAAAACTGTTAAGTTTTTCCATTTATTCTAAATATTGAGAATGGAAGTATAGAAATGGATAACTCTCTGTTTTTAAAAAAAAATACAGACAATTAAATTATGAATTAGTCCATATACGATTCGAAATCGGAAGGTTATTTTCCGTATAATGCTATCAAGACCGGCTTATACTTACAAGATGTTTGTGCTATAGATAAGATAAGATGTCCATTTAGGACAACACGTATACATTTAATAATACATATAACATAGAAAACACATACATTTACACACAAGTAATACATTCATACAGACATGCGATACTCTTGTTGGCTAATAGTCTTGTTTCATCATTTTCATTCTATTATGGATAATCGCTCCTAAATATTTCCAATTGTAAATTAGATTTACTGTGGAGTGAGACATGGATTTCGGAATGCGATGCTGTTTTGGGCGATTTCAACACCAGAGACGCTTCTTAAAGGAGGCATACAATCCCTGCGACCGACCCATGACAATTTCTAGATATCAAAAGTAGGTTAGAGCTGTGATTAATTACAATATTCAATTTGTGTATTCCACCAATGCTACTTCTATTTGTATATACATGTATGCGAAGTGGATAATTATTTTGATATAATATTTGTATTGTCATCATTGTGTTCCATACAGTGGCGGTGCCAGCCGTCGGTGGTTGGAGGGGCAAAGTCCAAGGTTAAGGGGGCAAAGGGGTAGGGCGGTCTCCTTCAGACAATTTTGAAAAACAGGCTGCCGTAAATGCAGCCTGGTAGTATTTCAGGCACTGATCGTTGAGGTAAAGTGTCAAACTAACGGACTTGCGAACCGCGACAAAGCCCAATCACGAGCGCCAAATGGGAGACCTTCCCCCGAAAATTTTGAAAAAAAGACTACGGGAAATGCTGTCTGACAGTATTCTGTCAGGCACCGATCGTCGTGGTAAATAGGTCTGACCAGATACCGTCCGTCGCCTGATCAGTAGTTTATCCGACCAGAGAACAAAATGTCAAACGAACGGACATGCGAACCTCAACGAAGTCCCCTTGTGAGCGCCAAAGCAGCGAGTCCTTGTGGGGGTATTGCGGACCTCCCTAAGAAAATTTTGAAAATTAGACTGTCGGAAATGCTGTCTGACAGTATTCAGGCACCGATTGTAAAGATAAATAGAGCTGATCAGATGCAGTCTGTCGCCTGATTACTAGTCTATCCGACCCCAGTGAGGAAAGTGTCAAATGAACGGACTTGCGAACCTCAACAAAGCCCCCGAAAATTTTGAAAAATTTACTGTCGGAAATGCAGTCTGGCAGTATTTCAGGCATTGATCGTCGAGATGAATAGAGCTTACCAGATAACGCCTGTCGCCAAATCACTAGTTTATCCGATCAGACAGGAAAGTGTAAAACGGACGGAGTGAGTGACACAAAGTGAATGAATATTTTCGCCGCGATATTTTGTGACATAGACTGCCGTAAATGCAGCCTGGCAGCATTTCAGACACTGGTTGTCGAGATAAATAGAGCTGACCAGATACTGTTCGTCACCAAATCACCAGCTTATCTGAATAGAGAGGGTGGTGTCAAACGAACGGAGTGAGTCTATCAAGTGAATGTATATTCTCGCCGCGTTAACATATACCCAAAAACTTTGAAGATCGTAAAAAGCACTTCCCATGTGATTCACATGTTATTGTTTATAGTAGGTTTACAGCAGGATGGACTTGGCAAGGAATCACTCAGACTCAACAACATGCAAGTCTATGACTGAGTGGGGATGTGGGATTTAAACACTGTAGAAGGTATTGATTACCGAAACGTATCACAAATACATTTTTTTTATTTTCTAAAATTATTGGGGGGGGGGGGGCAAACAGAGGGCAGACCAGATTTATGGGTGGGGCGCCGCCACTGGTTCCATACATTTCTGTCTCGTCATTAACTGTATGCTTTTTATATGTTCGTAATAATATTATATTGTTAGCGATTGTAAATATGGATCTAGTACTGTCAAGCTTGATGTAGGCTATAGTAACCTGTGATTGTTTCCCATAAAAACTGTGTTCTGTTAAATAAAATGGTTTGATAAGAAAATTTTGTTCGCAAACTAACTGATAAGTCCACAATAAATAAATACTTTAATTTTAACAAGCACACACCTCGAAAGTAATTTAAAATGGCTGTTAAATCGAATAATGCCTAAAAAGAAGTTTAGTCTCCTTCAATTTTAAAATTCCTTGTTGTACTGATAACTTTGCCATACTTTCAAGTGCATAATTATTGCTGACATCAACATTATTGTCATCCGCCTTTCGAAGAAAGCAGGGAACTATTAAATGGGCCTGTTCGTCTGTCTGTTCATCAAGCCATTTGGGACACAATAACTCTTCTTCTAATTGAGGTAGAATTTTTAAACTTGGTGTAGGTGTTGATTATGTGAATGGCTTGATGGAGTTCGAAGATGCGCATTTTATGTTTAGGATCAGCAGAGATAAGCATTTTGATTGGTTGATTGGTCATAATGTGGCCCAAAATATGACCTTTGTCACCAGTCTTACGCCAAGTTAGTTCAACTTTTGTCGCTCTTAAGTGATATTGTTGGCTTCCTGACTTGGTTAGCTAGCTTTTAGGCTTTGTTTCAGCTATGGACTCTAAATTTTAATTATGGTCAAAAATTAGTGCTAATTAATTAGCTCTTAAGTAGCATTAGTACAGCATTTCATGCAGTGAAACCCATACAAATGGTGTTAGAAAGAAAAATAATCCCGGACAAGACAATTTAATCAAATACACTCAAACGTCGTTATGTGACCTAAAATTTGACCTTTGACCCTTGTCACCTTTGAACCACTCTTAAGCAAGGTTTGTTCAACTTTTGTCGCTCTTAAGTGATATTTTTGGTTTCCTGACTTGGTTAGCTAGTTTTTTGGCTTTGTTTCAGTTATGGACACTAAATTTTAATTATGGTCATTGATTAGTGACCTTTGACCTTTGTCACCTTTGAACGAGTCTTCAGCAAGGTTTGTTCAACTTTTGTCGCTCTTAAGTGATATTTTTGGTTTTATGACTTGGTTAGCTAGCTTTTAGGCTTTGTTTTAGTTATGGACTCTAAATTTTAATTACGGTCACTAATTAGTGCTAATTAATTAAGCTCTTAAGTAGCATTAGCACAACATTGTATGCTCTTAAGTCATGCATTCTGTTTCTTAGTGTTAAGTGTTAAACGCTTGCAAAAAAATTGTAGATGGACATTGAATTTTAACTCCAATTAAATATGGGAGGGTTAGGGGGAGCTCTCCCAGGTATATGCACAGGTTACAAAACTTAAGACTTGCCTTTCCAAAATGATCTAGGGGTAAAATATGTGTTGTAGACCTCAAACCTTTTGGACTCAATATTTTGATTAAATCTCACTGGGCTCCCGGGTTAACATTAGTCTCGATAGGCCTACATTAACTTTTTTTCAAAGATTCGTACGAGTATTTTTAGACCTAAATCAACAACTTTTAATTCTGTTTCTCAAACATTCTGTACATGCAACACGTAATTTTTATATGTATAAAGTACCGTAAAGGAAAA